CCACAGTGTATGTGTGGTGTCCCAGTTTGGGTTGGGCTCCTCTTTGAGGTATTGCCTTTTTTCCTGGATCAGGAATTCGGAAACATTGATCGATCGACCAATTGAGGGAGTGTGAGTATCTATGCATGGATCGATGCATTCATTTCAGTCCTGACCAAGAGCAGGTTCTTCTTTGTTTGTGTCATCCTGCAATGTTCAAATTTGGTGATTTATAAACATGCTGCATATAGATCTATAGGGCACTGCCAAGGACCGAGAGCTTAATTTGCAATCTTGCCACTGTACTGCTATATATAAAGTATGGCCCTAGACAGAAGTTCATAGGAAGAATCGGTCCTTTGCCTTTGCCTTTGCCTTTGCTGCTTTTCCATCGCATTTGTCTTTTTCACCCTTTGCATCTGCAGAATGCAGATTGCCCTTTGGACGTTTGGTTCGCGGCACTTTGGGCTTCCGAGCTTCCTCCTCCTCCTCCTCCTGCTCCCTTTCTGCTTTCAGTGCCCTATCATCCACTTCCAAAGCAGCAGCCATCTCATCGTCGTTTGGTTCCTCAGGCCTGTCTGCTTCCTGCTCAATCTCAGCCTCCTTTGTTTTCCTTGGCCTCCCAGGTCTTTTCCTTTTCTTTTCCTCTTCGTGCCTTTCCCTAGCTTCCTCACACTTTCTTTTCCTCACTGCTTTTTTGTGCCTGAGCAAGCTACGTGGATTGCAAAGTTATCGATAAATATCATTGAAACATTGGCGACAAGTAGGGGCCCTGCCTCCAAAGCGTTGGTCAATTCAGCTTCATTGTCTTTCCTCCCCTCAACTTTCAGCAGCTCTGGAACCTTTGTCACCAAAGGTTTGTAGTCCTGCCAGTGTCGAGCGTTGCTCAGGACCAGCTTTGGCTGGAGCACTGTGCTGGCTATTACTTTGGCTGCTCGTTGTTTTTTAGCTATCTGGAACGCTAGCTAATATATGTTATTATGTTTATAGAACCGACATTTTGAGCTGAACTATCCAGCCTGGAAGGTCCCTTTGGTTTTTGCTGCGCTTTGGCCAAGCTTCTCTGGCTCACTGACAGCGTCGATGTTTTCATCCTTTTGCTCGATCTCGGTTTGCACTCCCAGCTTGTTTGTGATCTCTTGTGCAATTCTCAGCTTGACAAGGTCTTTTTCCTGGCTGTCTTCCACCTGGTCGAACAGTATTCGCAGATTCTGGGCCACAGTTGTGGCCACCTCCATGTTGTGCTCGAACTTTCTCTGCTCCTCTTCGGGCAAGTCTTCAACCCGTTCAAGACGCTGTCTCTTTGGGGCAGGTATGCTGGCTGGTTGCACTTTGCTTGCTTGCTCCTCCCTCTCCTCCTCCTCCTCCTTATTTGGCTTCCTTTTGTAGTAGTCTTCCCTACAGTGTCCTGCAACCTGCATCTTCACCAGCCATTCTACGAAGCTGCACAGGTCCTCAAGTGGCTCATCATGGTCCATGAACTGGAACTTCTTATCCTCCTTCTTCCGCACATGTTCCACATACCGACAGAGTTGCGCGTGGTTCCAGCATTCACTGCACAGAGGGTGAAATTCGTCACTGTCCAAGCTGATCAAGAAATTGTAAAATTCCCTTTGCTACCTCTCACCCATCGCTACCAACAGCTCGCAGCCAATGGTCACAATCTTCTCCAAATTGGGCTTGGAATCACGAAGCTCCTTTCTGAAGTGTGAACCCTTGGCAGAGACATTGAGTCTTCGAGGTCGACTGCATCCCTTCCTTCCATCTTCTTCCTCCTGAGCCTCCTCCTTTTCTTCCTTCGCCTTCCTTTCGTCTTCTTCCTTCTGCTTTT